CGCCCGTATTTATTTGAACACGGAGTACACGGACGTACACGGACGCAGAGCTCATTGAAACTGAAGAGCGGACGAGGAGAGAGAGGGAGCAGCAACAGGCAGAGGAACATGTCTGAATCCAGCTAAAGGTAAACACAGACGTTCATTTCTCCTTTCCGTTATGTTGTCAGATAATTATACTAACAATCCGAGCCTATCTGTGTGAAAAAAATGCACTTTTAGTGGACGTATTTTGACGTTGTTTGACGCTGTCTGAGTGCCCTATTATTTAATATAGCGCGCGCTCACAGGCTGCAGGCAGGTCAGCCCTAGCTTCATACTGGAGACATGTCACATATTGAACATCCTGTCACTCATTTAGACAAAAGGAGATCAGAAAATAGGGCCCAGGTTGAAAACAACATTAGTTCCCCTTTAAGCCAACACTTTAGTTTTCCTCATGAGTTAAAATCAAAGATCTGAGACTTTGTCACTTCACACCAAAGGCTCCTTTCTCTCATTATTTGTGCTCCGCTCGGAGCTTTTTTGTGTTTTCTAATTGAAAATATACTTTTCTATTGCTGAATAATTATTTCATGGTAGAACAATTTTTTAGAAAATAAGAATCTGGCCTCAACCTAATGTTGTAGACATGCAGACGACTGTTCAAGACCAGCACACAGTGAAACCAGCTGTTAATGGAGTCATTGCTGTTTCCAGCTGCTGTTTAGCCTCCAAACGTGGCTGCAGCAACCTGTCGCTGATTTACAGCAGTGACGTAAAAATGTAAAAAGACGATGTAAAAACATGGAACACTGCGGACAAGCTGTGGAAGTTCCAGCCTACAGACCATGACAAGTAGTCGGTTTCTGGACTGTATGAATCTTAAAACAGCTGATTTGACAGGAAACGCAGGAATGTTTGGGTTAAAAAGAGGCTTCACATGTCACTATCGCTGAGAAAGACTCACATTGGGCAGACTGAAAGCTGCGTGAGACACAGCGATGACTCCCGAACAAAACAGAGCTGATGACAGAGTCAGCTCAGATACTTCGTCACTTTAGAAGCGCTGACATGAAACGTATGAGACGTGTTGGTGACAGACACGTATGAAGCCAACATTTCTCCTGGATTGTGACATAAATCTTTCCTTCATCATCCCGACGGTTCCCCATGTGACACACCGTCATACGTGTGCCTGTGTGTTTTCTGCACATTCCCATGACAGCGTTTGATTGGCTCGGTGATTGGCACATCACAGCGTGCAGAACACAGAGGACGCTGCGAACAGATGGACACGCTGAACCGTCGGACGGAGAATTAATGAGGTGGAAGCCGTTTAAATATTCTCCTCCTTTTTAATCCCGTCTGCCTCTGAGAGCACCTCTGCCCTGCCTCCCTCTCAGCTGCTCCGTAATTACAACACACACACACATACTCACACACACACTTGTTGCTATGGTGACAGGCGGTGCTCATTTAGTCACAGACTTCACATACATGCATGCATAGTGTTTATACAGGCGCTTCCTGCTCACACACACTCCTGTGTCTCTGGTTTATTACCAGACTGCAGTCTTAATCCTCACTGGTGTAGTTTGAATATTATGGTCTGTATGTGGTAACTGTTTAAATAAAACTAACTTGACTTGTGTTTGGGGTCCTGGAGGCCCCGGGGCCCCGCTCCTTAAACACCCTGGAAACTGATTGTTTTCATCAGTTCAGATAAAGTTCTTCACAGTTTTGGTTTTTAGTCGTCAGAGTTCAGCTCAAGTTTAACTGCTGTTTGGATGAATGTTCAGTCTTACAGAGGGTCACACTGATCACTGTCAGCACATGATTTTTAAAATCTTCTCCTTCATTGTTTGTACAGATTTATATTTGAGCAACTTTCACCCAGGAGGCCGGTGTTCACTTCCTGTAAGATTGTAAAGCCAAACCTTGTTCTTTGTTCCTAAACGTAACCGTGTGTGTGTTGAAGGAAAAAAAACATCAGTTGGCGGTGTTGTACCGACATAGTGCTTTTATTTTGAAAGAGACTGTATCAAACTGTACATTTCCTGTGAAAACAGAAGTGTATTTTGAAAACAGACAATGCATGTAACAGGCTGAAGTTGACACGGCGTCCCAGAACGTCAACAACCAACACACCCAGGGTACCTTGGACGTCATATGTGGACGTGGAAAGTCCATGACCAAACGTGGACATGTGACGAGGTCACAGTGAGGATGATGATGTTACCACGAGGCTTTTTACTGTGAAATATTTGCAGGAGGGTACAGTGACTGAGCAGAGCAGCATGATGCAACACTGTGGGTGTGTCCCAAGTCTCTTAATTTATACTCCTAACTCCTGACTTGAACCGGAAGTCGTTCGAGCTCCGCCATCTTTAAGGCTGTCTCATGTCTCTTATTCCTGCCAGTAAGGAGTTAGTGTTAGGAGTTAGGAGGGATCTGTTAGGTGTGATGAGTAAGATAACACAAGAGCTTCCTAACAGGAAGTCTTTTTCAGCTTGAGGCCATGACGTATAAATACCCGCCCACTACATCTGGCTCATTTGAACGAGATGGCGGAGAAACAGCTCAAGTGTACCCGTTACATGCATCCTTTGCAATGACACGCTGTAATTCACATGCCTACGTGACTACAAAGAGTAACGTTGATGATATTTCCTGAAAGACTGTCATGTTGTAATTAAGTTTATTTCATTCACAACCCGTTGCGTTGTTCAGCGGACTGTCTGTGATGTGTGGCTGTTAAATGTGCAGCTTGTAGGTAATATTAATTATTAATATTAATATTATTACTTTCATTAATGTTGTTGTAAGCTACTGTCATTGCCGTCTGTCCTGCATCTCTCTCTCTGTCTGTCTGTCTCTCTCTCTCTCTCTCTGTCTCTCTCTCTCTCTGTCTCATTGTGTCATATGGATTACTGTTAATTTATTATGTTGATCTGTTCTGTACGACATCTATTGCACGTCTGTCCGTCCTGGAAGAGGGATCCCTCCTCAGTTGCTCTTCCTGAGGTTTCTACCGTTTTTTTTCCCCGTTTAAGGGGGTTTTTTTGGGGAGTTTTTCCTGATCAGCTGTGAGGGTCATAAGGACAGAGGGATGTCGTATGCTGTAAAGCCCTGTGAGGCAAATTGTGATTTGTGATATTGGGCTTTTTAAATAAAATTGATTGATTGAGGCAGACTGACAGGTCTGATATGTCTTATTCACTCAGCAGCTGACTTGTTGAATGATGGCGAGTGGATTTAATAATAGTGATAATAATGATGATAATTATGCTCATCACAGTGACAGTGGCAGGGCTACAGACCGTTCTTTGGGGATGTACGCCAAACTCTGGCTCTGTTATGCAGCAGATCCAGCTGTGCTACCGTCATCAGAAAAGGACGTCGCTTTACATGACGCTTCAGAGTAAGGCTGTCTCATGTCTCTTTGCAGCACTACAGGAAGGAAGCGGTCACACAGTCTTCTGGTCTCTGCTGCTGATTGGCTGCTGTGGTCACATGATTTCAGAGAATCGTCTCAGAGAAAGTGAAAGTTAACGGGACAGACTGAGCTCAGAGCTGCTGTGACTGCTGACACTTCACCAACAGGTAAGAATCTTCATCATCATCATCATCATCATCATCATCATCACCACAGGTCTTCATCACACTGAGGTCTGCTCCACTCAGCTGCTCTCTAACACTCCCTGATGTCTCTCTGACACCACGGTGTACACACACTGTGACACAAGAACAAACGTGTCAGCGTCACACTCTGAGGACTAACCCTTCATGTGTTCATTCATGTGTTCATCTCTTTAATGCTGCAGCTCATTTTAATGACTTTATCAACCCACAGCTTCACCAAAGGCTCAATAAAGTTTTCTCTGTATCCTGACTGAATATCAGAATGTGACACTCACTGTCAGACTGCAGCAGCTGCATCTAACCTGACTGAACTTTGTTTCACTCTCTCAACAGGCTCTGCAGGAAGCTCCTGACAATGGCAGCATTAAGAAGAAGTGAGAGTCTAGTACGGTTTCTTGATTTTTCTGAATCAACAACAAAACCTATGAGACATGCAGCTTCATTCATCTCAGCGTTTGACGTCAGTGAACCAAAGATGAGACAGATTGTAGGAGAGTTTCACAAGATCGTTGATGAAGTGAAAAAGATGCAGCAGAAGACAGATGAACAGAGAACAGCAGGAGCTTTTGTTGGAGGAGTAGGAGGAGTAGGACTCGGAGTCATGATCCTTGCAGCTCCATTAACTGGGGGGCTGAGCTTATTGGCAGCAGGAGGACTAGCTGCTGCTGTTGTTGTGGCAAATGAAACAAAAACAAGAGAAGAGAAAGAAAGTGTACGTAAAGTTGAAGAGCTGGGGAAAGAATTCATGGAGATTGTTGAATCGCTGAAGAACAACCTGGAAGAAATAAAGACGACGTGTGAAGAGCTGGAGAAAAGGTCAGCTGGAGGTCAGGCTGCAGACACTCTGTCAGACATGAAGGAGTTTCAGAGGATTCTTGGACGAGTGTCTGAGCGGAGAAGAAGGACTGGAGAAGTTTTGGTTGTGACTGTAACAGTGCTGAAGGTGATTGGTAACATGTTACAGCTCGTCCTAAGTGTCTTCAGAGTGACTGCGACTCCTGAAGAGGATCAGGAGTTAAGAGACTCCATCAGACAATCAGCTGTTCAGTGTCAGAAGGTCATTAATGCGTTTGATCAGATGAAGAAGGAACTGTCAGTCATAAGGGAGGAGACAAAATCGTTGGAGCAAGTAGAAGCCGACGTGCCGTCCTCCTGAGGAAAATGTGTGTGAGGACAAAAGGACACACTAAAGTCTGTTTCCTCTGATCATGTTACACTGTTAGATCTGTGATGACATCAGCAGGAGGAGAGCTAGTTAGCATTAGCTGCTAATAGTGAAAAGGAGTCCTGGGTGAAGGTAAATTATAACCTCCGCATGATGCGTTCACTGTCATCTTGTTAAATGCTTTTTGTGTGTGTGTGTTCAAATTCCAGCTGTTTGATGTGTGGATGTTTCCAGAGCACTGAGCCAGATGTTATGATGGACAGAGGTGGAAAGTAACTAATTACATTTACTCATGTTACTGTCATTGAGTAGTTTTTTGTGTGTAATTTTTTCAGTAGTTTTTCAAATCTGTAATTTTACTTTTACTTAAGTAAGTTTTGACTGAAGTATTGTACTTGGCTACATTTGAGATCACATCCGTTACTGAGTAGTTTTGGCTAAATGGAAACCAAAGGGTGAATCTCATAAATCTCGTGTGGAATTGACCCAGAACAAGCGACCGGTGCCGGCGAGTTACTGGAGAGAGAGATGGAGGAGGGTGGGAGCGCTGCAGCAGAAGCACAAGCAGACGCAGCAGCTGAAATGATCAAATAACATAACAGTAGTTTCTAAAGAGCTAAGAGCAGAGGTCATATTTCAGCAGCACCACCGCTGCTAGTTGCATATAGAGGAAACACTGTTGCTCAGTGGATTTGTTCTGTTTTGGAATACACACTATTCTTCCAGATTAGTGTTAGTGTGTTTTAATATTCAGGATTTCGCTCTCTGTTTTTTGACCATACACCTGTTTGCATCTCTGAGAATAACGCCCAACAACATTGCTCAAAAAGTTGCTCTGTGTATCATCAGTCTAACAGTTGTGTTGGTGAGTCAAAATGAATGAGGGCTGCACAATATTAGACACAACTGACAATGCCATGACGACTTTGTATACTGTGATATGTGCTGCAATATACAGTGTGTTGCAATAAGTTGAACAGCTCTATTTGGACAGAAGTCATCATTTGGGATTTGTGTATTATCTTGTAATGCTCAGTAGATGAATGTGAAGTGCAGTGTTGTATGAAGAAACCTGGTACTGTATATATTGTCAAGAGGAATGTGCATGTTCTCTTTTATGTTTTATGTTGGTTTTCTGTTTTCTTTCTTTCTCAGTTTGGTTTTGTATTGCTGTAAATTGACATATCATTGACATGTAAAAAGCAATAAAAGTTTAATCGTAAGAAGGGTAGCTTTATTTGTACTTAAGTAGAATTTCATCAGAGTAAAGGTACTTTTACTTGAGTAGAATGTTTCAGGTCTTTTTCCACCTCTGCTGATGGATCATATGTAGTGAAGACGTTTATATTAGACGTTGTGTCATAACTGTGTGTTACTGACTCTGTGCTCATTCTGAGGTCGCGTGATGAAGGACTGAATGACTTTAAAACAGTTTAATTCATCTTTACAGAGTAGATTTGTGTTCCTCTGGAAACAAAAAGTAAATAAACAACAATATAAGAACACCAGCTGTCAGCTCAGCTGAGTCAGCCAGAATGTCACAGCGGGAGCGTCCTTACCGGCTTTAATTCTTTGTCACTGACACTTTGTGATATTTGATATGTTTGACTGTTGGTTTCATATTTGATCTCACACACTGTTGGACTGTGACCCTTATGGTGTTTTATATCAGGAGTGTTTAACTTCATGTTTATTAGGCTCAGAGGGTGAAAGGAGGCTCCAGAGGCCCGGGCTGCATCCTGCTCCATGTGCTCCTTGCTCACGCTGGACCTCAAGGAGACAAGGGAGCGTCTGAGACTGTGTGATGAGCAGGTTTATGGGAAAAACAAGCTGTAAATGGACTCTCAATGATCCCATGAACGATCTGCTTGGGCGTGTGACTTTTCTATGTAGGAACTGAAAACTGTCTCTGCACTCTGTCGTTCTTGAACTGACCTGTGTGTGTGTGTGTGTGTGTGTGTGTGTGTGTGTGTGTGTGTGTGTGTGTGTTTAGGGAGATGTTTTGTGTTCAGGTGTGTTTTCTGAGACCACCTCTACTTCTCCAGCAGCACAGACTGTGTGAGGGTTCATGTCCAAAGTATCCTGAACCTTTTGAAACCATTTAATCACGTGTGTTCTTTTTGATGTCTTGGAATCATTTCACATCATCATTGAATAAAAACAAGGAGATGGTTGTGATCTGCTGAAAAGGCAGCCGTGACTTTTGAACATCCACAGCTTTGCATGTGAGATCATGTGCTAATCTGCGTCTGTGTGGCGTTCGAGGTGTTGGGATCAGAGCTGGAGGGGTAGAAGGAGTCCTGAGTGGGAGATGTGCCACCCTCTCTCCTCCCATGAGCTCTCAATCAGACGCTGACATTTCTCTCACAGGAGCAGAGACCTTTAGGTATGTAGTGACACACACATGCTGCTGATGACATGTTGTCTTGCTGCTGACATTGTGCTTATTGTTGCTCAGCCTCTGATGATTAAAGACACTGTGTTCATCCTCAGGTGATACCTGACAACCGAGCCGCTGGGTAGGTAATCATCCATCCTAAAGCAAGTCCTTCCTGCACCCAATCTGAAATGGGAACGAGGAGAGAGCAGAGGTCTTCATCATCATCATCCTCACTGTGACCTCGTCACATGTCCACGTTTGGTCATGGACTTTCCACGTCCACATATGGCGTCCAAGGTACCCTGGGTGTGTTGGTTGTTGACGTTCTGGGACGCCGTGTCAACTTCAGCCTGTTACATGCATTGTCTGTTTTCAAAATACACTTCTGTTTTCATAGGAAATGTACAGTTTGATACAGTCTCTTTCAAAATAAAAGCACTACGTCAGTACAACGCCAACTGATGATTTTTTACGTTACGTTAAGGAACAAAGAACAAGGTTTGGTTCTCATAACCTCGGCCTCCTGCATGAAAGTTGGTGGTTGTTAACTTGCGTCCTTGTCCCGCCGCATTTCCCTCTACACAGCTGGTCACCGTTTCATGAGCTCTGTAACAGTGGCCCCTATCTTATAACAATGAAAACACGGATTGATAGAATTTCTCGTCAGTGGCGGGGGTAGTGTAAAGACGGCACCGCTCTGTCCCTTCATTCCATGATTGTTCCTTATGTACAGCACAGCGAGGCAGATTATGGTGTACCCGCCTTCAGCAGGTCCTTTTCACTTCTCACACGCTGCAAAGTCCCTTCTTTACACAGAACCAAACGATGGCGGCATCATGTCGCTGCAGTGTGTGATGTCAGACAGCATGATGACACCAGCATAAGAGGCGTGACATGTAACACAACAGCGTCGGCCTCTAGTGTGACTTGACTGTCGTGACATGTCAGCTTCATTAAAACCACAGCTGCAAATTAAAGCAACAATAGATGTGAAAACACACAGAGACAACACATCTGTGATCAGCTCCCTCATTTAACAAATTCTTTTCCTCTTTTCCAATTTCTCGTTTTATTTTATGGAAATGATCAATGTGAGTGCACTTGTCCTTTAAACTTGATAAAAGATAAAAGCTAACCAAATAAAACATTCGTTACAGCCGAATCAGTTTGTAGAACAGTTAGAACAAGAGGCTGCACTGCAATGTGCAGATCACTCCTCGCGGCTGCAGCTTGTGCTCCACTGCTGTACACAGTTTAAAAACTACAACACCCATAATTCATGTAGGAACTGCTGCAGCCAATGTGCAGCCGGCGGGAGCTGCAGGAAGACTCAACCACCATGATCAGTTTGTAATGTTTCGTCAGGCAGTAACTCCTCCAGACTCTGCTCCGGTGTCATTCTCGGGACAGTAAGGGCAGGATTCAGGATTCGGGACAACTGCTTGGATTTCGGGACTGTCCCGAATTTTTCGGGACGTCTGGTCACCCTACAGGGACAGAAGTCTGTGAGAAAACAAATGCAGGATGAGACATTTGAAACATGTTTTTGTTTTTTAGAATACATTGGACACAGCCACAAATAAACATGTTAAATGTGTGAAAGCTGAAGGCTGTGAGCTGCAGGCCTCACAGTGTCGCTCCGTGAGTCAGTGCAGAGAGCTTTACCGACGCTGGCTCTCTTTTCACACAAATTTAAACTTCATTATTCAGTTTGGAGGTGGGCCGTTTGTCGGCTGTGTCAGCTCTCATTAACCGCAGCCCAGACTTCCTCCCTGCAGCCTCGCCCGCACTCCCCTAACCTCATCTGGTGGCTGATTATGGCTTCCTCCCCGGTCCCTCTCTGGCCACTGTGTCCTGATGGAAACAAGGTGGAGCAGTAACACTGTCGCTGTGAGCCCAGCTGACACTAATCATTACAGTTAATGTCCAACACAGTTAGGCTCTTACCTTGCTTACCACCGACCTGTCTGCGCTGCAGGAGACGAGGCGGGAGGGGAGGGCGAAGGAAGGAAAATAAGAGATCCTCAGAGACCCTGAAGGGACACGGAGGGAAAATGTTTTAGGAGGGGCGAAAAAACTAAAGAGGAGCAGCGGTGGAGAGTCGGTCTGCAGCTGATCTCCAGCTCCTCTCTTCAGTCAGCTGTCACATGGGATCAGCCGTCACTCAACACGGCAGGTGGTCTGCAACCACTCATCGTCTGCATTGAGACGTCTTCATTTTAAAACGCCGATGTCACGGGAAAATGATTTGTGTCCACGCTAACAGCGTTTCCATATGTTAGTTCAGGTTTATTTAGAAAGCACAATTCATACAAACCAGTGGTACAAGAGTAAATTACAAATACAGAACAGCAAAGTTATTTTCCGTAGGTGTCGACATGATGAAGCTCTAACGTGTTGATGCGTGACATTTGTTTACCAACATGTACGTTACTTCATTTCCTTGTTCCATCTCTCTCCCTCCATGTACTTGTGTCAGCTAGTTGATTTTTTTTATTACGGGCCCATGTAACGGGTCTTTCTAAAACGTCTTGGAAAACTTTTGAATTTTGTCCATGTAAATGTGCGTGAACCCTGGGCCGAGTAAATGTGGGTACAGTCATCATAACTAGGATAATAAATCTTACTATCACGTATGGTTTGTCAGAGCTTGAGCCGATAAAGGTTGAATAATAAAGGCCCTTAAATCGACCCCTGAGGGACACCACAGTAGAGACGTGTGTCCACAGTGAGACACCTGAACATGAAAACTCTCTTCTTCTTCTTCTTCTTCTTTGTCTTTTTTTCAGTTGGCAAACAACAAAACTGCTGCACAGCCAACATGTGGTGAAGAGACAGACAGACAGCTGAAGAAATCATTATTTGATGGTCTGGACGTCATCTGCAAAAAGGTCACCATAAATCCAGGTAAATGACAGCAGCTCTGTTCTGTGTTCACATTTATTGACGTTTAAAACGAGAAGGTTGGAGGCGACTGAATGTTCCTCGCTGTCACACAGCTCTGACCCTCACTGAGCAGCTGACGCGTCCTGGAAAAACTGTTGATTCACCTTTTGTTGGTTGTGCTTCAGTCATCTCAGATAAAGTCTGCTCTTCTGTTCAGGCATCATTTATTTGGAGTTAAAGTGATTAATACCTTTAAGACCATGTCCACCTTGTTGCTGAGGGCGCTACTGTACGAAGGATTATGGGTAAAACTTCCGGTGAGATAGCGGCAGTGGCAGCAAGCTAATTGATCTGTTAGTAATCTGTGGTTAGTCTCAGTGGCTAATCTTTGTGGCTAATGGCAACGAGGGTTGTTCTAGAAGGTAATTTGTCTTTAAGATAGCAAAAAGTTGAGAAACATTAAAAGCCAGATTAAAAAGTTATGTCTTTAATGTACGTATACAAATACCGAGGGAGCGTCAGACACTCTGATATCCAGAGGTGGCGAGCTCCACAGTTTGGGGACATAAAAACAGAGCGCGCTCTCAGCAGGACTTTTATGGGACACGTGAGGAACATTTCAAAGTAAAGCAACATAAAATGATCTCAGACGTGTGAAGGGGCGGGGCCAATTAAAGCTTCACACAGAGGCTCACGTCTCAATTTTGGGGAGATATGCAGTTACCAGTTTTACGGGGTGTAATAAAAGTAATGTAATGAGTAGTGTAACAAATTACTGTTGGCAGGGAGTAATAAGTGAAGTAATGTAATTACTTCTGTAAAGAGTAACGAGTGCTTCTGGGGAACAGTTAAGTCTTCCTCCTGATGTGACTGATTACAGGCTCAGGAAACCTGCGCAGGTGCTTTGAGTTCATCAGCTGATCTGAGCTCGTCTTCTCCATGTGAGTCCAGAATATGAACAGTTTTCACTTTCTGAAATAACTGACAAGAAATATTGAACTTTTTCATGATATTCTAATTTTTTGTTCACATATATCATGTTGTTGTTCGCTAAACTGAAAACTAGTGAAGGTAGAAGATGAAATTCTAAATCCTTGCGTTCAGTCCCTGGTAGAGACGAGAGTTGAAGGATGCTGTGAAGCAAAGTGAGCGCTGAGAGGACGATGATGAGGAGAGGCGCAGATGGATCCTGTAAATGGAGACGTAAAGGAGGCCGGAGCAGATGTGACAGATGGATTCAGTGTGGAAACAGAGGGAATAGAGACGGATGGGTAGAGTTGAACACAACCTGCTATCACTGTCATCTGAATCAAATGGAGATAGTAAGAGCTCAGATTAGGCAGAGCGATGATGGAGGAGGAGGAAGAGGAGATGTGAAAGAGTGGCAGTGTGTGAAAGACAAAAGCTGTAATGCAGACACACTCACACACACACGTTGGGTCAGTAGTTCTTATTTAATCACTCTTTTGGCGGCCAGTTGTCAGACCCTTCACTGACGTGTTTTAATCAGCACTACCATGTGTCAGCAGGATCAGATGCTCCACAGGTATGAATCACTCGTAACGTACTCGCTGTTCTCGGTTGTGCAGAAACATATGGAACATAAAGTTGAGTCACAGGTCAGTTTTTTAAAAGCCTCTGTCTGGTTTTCTGAGCATTAAGAGGAGGAGGTCACGCTTTATGTGCCGGTGATCAACGCTGCAGAGTGGTCGCACTAAATTTGGGAAAAGGTTGCTGAGGAGGCAGAAAGACCTCCAGTCCGACCGAAACACATCAGCTGAAAACTTCAGCGTCTGAGAGCAACTAAAGAGAAAACTTCATCTACAAAATGACAATCTATGAATACATGTAATCACCGCGTGGTGTGGTTAATTACCTCATAAATTGAAGTAAACACCTTGTTTAACAAAACTATATCAACATAAAACTCTCACACAGCTCGTTCAGAATAATCCACGACTCATTTATCCAGTCAGATGATCAGGACTCAGGGTGCGAGATACCGTCCTAAAATGATATCAGGATATTTCAGGTGTTTTTGCTTTGTTAATGATATTCCTGACGATATGACAAATTAGTAAAAAAATATTTTATCATTAATTTGAGAAGATAGAATTCATATAGTTTTACAGTTTGCCTTCAGATAGTCAGGTGGGTGCTGTCCGTTGACAAGTTGCCATCACGGCAACAATGTTGGTTAGGTAACGTAACCCCGGCGGAACCCCAGATTCAGAGTACAGGCTGTTGTTTCAGTGTTTTCAGTTCATGGTCAAGTTTTATTGTAACACTTGGGTTGTCTTTGGGGCCTCACACATGCCACGTTTTTTACATCCTCAAATTCATTGTTTTTAATTTAGATGCTCAGCAGGTGCACTCAAACGCCAGAGTGATGGCGTCATGGAACACACGCATTCCTGCCCACCCTGAGATAAACTGAGTTTTGGACTTTTGTAACACAGCAGCGCGCACCTTCATGTGACAAGGAACAACCAGTCACAGCCGACAGATATCTTTCCCTTCTTCTATAAATATTCAGTCTGATAAAAGTTGATCATGTTAGTGCAGGGCTACCCAGAGCTTTACATCTGTCCCACAGACAGCAGGCCTACACACTTATAAACAGCTCCTGGAAGAAGATCAGCTCTGCACTCAGGGTTTCAGGTAAACAGGCTGTATGATGCTTGTTAAGGTTGCGCCAAGCTAGCTCCCACCTGACCCAGTCGGTGCGCAATGCAAAGCCGCCGGTGGGCAGTAGGCACCATGTTTCTGCATATTGACACAGCAAGCCGTCTGTCTGTCTTCCAGCAGATCTAGGTGGTGCACAGCACAGCAAACTAAAGAGTAGCAGAATCAGCGTATAGACCGACATGCAGTCAGAAATATTCTCTGTAGTTTAACAATTAATGGTTAACTGACCACATCCCTGTGTCAGTGTGGGTTTCCTCCAGGTGCTCTGACATGTTCTCCCTGTGTCAGCGTGGGTTTCCTCCAGGTGCTCTGACATGTTCTCCCCGTGTCAGTGTGGGTTTCCTCCAGGTGCTCTGACATGTTCTCCCTGTGTCAGCGTGGGTTTCCTCCAGGTGCTCCAGCTTCCTCCCACAGTCCAAAGACATGCCGGTTAATTGATGACTCTAAATTGTATGTGACCCCTGACAGAAAATGAATGGATGGATGAATGAATGAATGGTCACATCCCTTGTGCTAACCAGGCTGGCAGCTAGTGTTAGTGAGAGCTTCACCCTCTTGTCCAAATATGGTCACTTCTCCAACAATCCAAGATGGCGAACTCAAGGCTTCAAAACAGGAGATGACAAACCGATAGGTGACGTCACAGTGGCTGGGCCCGCTTCTCCTATGCCACATGACTGTTTGCACTGACGCCCACCTGCAGGAACACACTGTATATGGTACTTTAATCAACTATGCAGGATATTTAATATGTGTTAACATGTCAGTGTAGGACTGTGCTCCTTTACGGAGGGGATGCTCCTTTGGTTGTAATCCGTGTGCATGTTTGAATATAATGAGTTGTTGCCCACTCTCCTGTTGCTCAGTATTTTTCGCCGCACATGATGGTGGCACAGAAAGTGCACAAACAGAAAAACCAACAGCTGTTGTTACAGATGTTACTTTTATTTAGATCTCCAGACACAGATTTCAGTTACACTGCTGTAGCGCTGTTAAAGTTTACAAATATATCAGCAAATTTACAACCTCACTTTCACCTTTTTCCTCCTCTCGTCCTCTCGTTTCTCTTTCTCTCCACATAATCACAGAGCGTATAGCCCCGCTAGCGGCCGTAAGATGCTGCAGAATGAAGGTTTGCAACAGAGGAATATACTCATAATTTAGCTTTTCTTTAGACCCTCAACAGTAGAAGGATTTAAAATCTGAAGTTTGCCCTGAGGGTGCGCCAAAGCAGTGGTTCCCAACAGTTGTTCATAGTGTTTTGCTTCTTGTTATCACTTTATGGCTTTAAGTTACATGTGGTGTTCCACAGGGATCCATTGTTGGGCCCCTTTTGTTCTCATTACTTTAATAACTGCTCACTGAATCTTTGTTTTTTGTTACTTTTTGCTTGTTTCTTCCACAAAAATCACTTATTTCTGAGGCGATGTTGGAATTAGATTTCTAAGTCGTTTAAATTGAACAAACTTTATTTAAATATCTGTGAATGTAATTTAATAATATTAACTGGCAAAAAAAGAAGTTATTTTATATCTACTAAATAATTTTTCGTTGGAAACAAATCTCTAATCTAATCTCTCTAATCACAAGGTTTCTTGGTATTTTACTTGAGGACAAGTGAAATTGGAAAAATCATATTATTTTAATTTGCTGTAAGATAAAATTAATTTGTATGAAAATACGTAGACCACCAACCTTCTTAAAAAGCTTTCTGTACTAAACAGATTTGTCAGGGATGTCATCTGTGTCTAATTTTGCTTTTGAAAGCCCAGCACCTGTTAACCAGTAACTAACCGTCTGATATTTGAGGGGAGAAAAAGCAAACTGACACTAAAAACAAAAGTCCTTTCCTTTTTGTCTGGCGCTCCACTGACTCAGTCAGTTTTAGCCCTGCATTTCAAAGTGTTAGACATTTTGAGGTGGTCACATTTTTTCTATGTTAGGTGATTTAAATGTTTTGACTTTTATTTTCTGCTGTCTTTGCTAACAGACAGCTAGCCATGTTAACGTGGCAACATAGTTCCCATTGCTCACCCTCCGGTCTCCACTGGTTAGATAACAAAATCCTTAGCTGTTCTGCACTGCACGCCATACAGGTCTTGTAGGAGCTAGCTAGCGGCGCAAGGTGGTGTTGTTGCAGAAACAGGTTGGCTACCATTCAGTTTTCCCCCAGGTCACCCTGGTGACTAAGTATTTTAATTTTGAGATGCAACGAACCCCTTTAGCATCATTAACTATGTAGCACCATTAGTCGTGCTAACAGTGTTAACAATGCTAAAGAGGGTTTGTGGCTCAAAATTTAGCTGCTTACTCACTAAGGCGACCCTGGGGGGAAACAGGAGGGTGGCCACTGTCATTCCACAGTGACGCTGTTGGGTCAGGATGGCGTTACTGGCATTAAATGCTGAATGAGTGACGCCACCAGCTAGCTCTCACAACATCAGACCCGGCTGGTGCAATAAATGAAGAGTAGCAAAATTAACCCATAGACCAATATGTGTCACGATTAAGGGTTATCCTTTGACATCCCTATAGAAACATTTTTATCAGTCTGAGGACCATATGCATCAACAGTGTATTGCCTTTAAGGTTTCTTACTAAATGTTGATCAAAAGCTAAATTGGTCCTGATGGTTGTTCTGTGAAAAGCTCAGGGGATCCACAGAATCCTCAGGATTCGTCCTCTGGAGACCATGAATACGGACACCTCATTTTTTTTTTTTAAAGATTTTTTTGGGGCATTTTGCCTTTAATGGACAGGACAGGTAAGTGTGAAAGGGGGAGAGAGAGAGAAGGGGGGGATGACATGCAGTGGGGTGCCCGCTCTACCACTAAGCCACCGACGCCCCGACACCTCATTTAATATCATTGTGACTCAGCACCAATTGTTGGACATCTCACCTTTGTCTCGACCGCTAGCGGGGCGCTAATACTCATCGTCTCTCTTTCAAGTATGTAAGAAAGAACAGTAAAGTAAGGCCACACCATAGTCACAGAAACTGATCTCTCTTTTACTTCCAGCTGACGGAGGACAGGACGTGACGACCCCTCGGGACACCGACCCCGTGGCCGTCTCACAGCACAACAGGCCTTCACTCACGTTCCACGTCCTGCATTGTCTATGAAACATAAAAAATATCCCACAGAGTGTCCAGAGGTAACGTACACACCGAAGAACCCATACACACACACAGAGGTCAAACACGTTCATGAAAGCAAAAAAAAAAACAAAAGGACCAAATTATTTGAATGTTATAAGCAACTGAAGACGTCATGATGAACTGTTGAATGTGGAATTATAAATACAGCTGAACTGAAGCATGAAAGACAAAAAGGTTTCTGATCAGGCTCGATACACAATAATCGATTTAGTGATGACTGATGAAACCAAACGGCGTTTCAGCTCAAAACTTTTAGAGTCAAACTTTCCTCTTCAAATTATTAGTCGCTCTTTGATTAAAAACAAATCCAAGTGTTAAAGCTTTTACATTTGTTCATATGATCAGATATAACTGAACTAAACGCACCGTAAGGTTTGTTGGGGATCAGTTTTCAGTGTTTGGTTTTGGGTCTTTTTACCAACAAAACAGAAGGAACGACCCTGTCTCTGAGGAACGATGTTAGCATATTACTGAACTGTTGCATAATTACACTGTGGTGACATTTTAAGACTCCTATGTAGCCTTCAGCTGTGTGTTTGTGGGATGGGGGGGCAGTTTTACCTGCAGGTGATAACATGATGTCATCGTGACGACGGCCCTAGAGGGTCTATTTGCTCAAGCTGCAGCTCGGAGTATGAGTTTCTCTTCAAACTTCAGTTTTTGAACTTGAAAATTTCACAGATGGGGATTCAAACGGCGTTAATGGTTTCCGAAGGTAAAATATTCCAGTGCCATCAGTTCAGCGGTATTTCAATGTCAACACTAAGAGTTCAGCAGAGATACAGTTTCACACGTCGTCTTTCAGCTGCTTATAAGATTTGAACCCTTCCAGCCTTTCTTTGCTGCCATACACACACACACACACACACACACATACTCCCCAACAAACAAAGAAAGACACACACACACTGCGCTCACACAACTATACACTTACAGAATGTGAAATATACACTCTCCCATTGAGATTTCATTGGATGGACTTTTTTCATATTCCACATTAAATGAAGTTTGTACAGAATGTCGACGACAAAATTAAGATAAAGACCCGCAAAAAGCACACTGGTGTACAGCATGAGTGTTTGTGTCCGTGTGGGGACCCTGTTTGCCCGCTAACGAGGTCTAAGGGGACGGCGACAGTGTGCATGTGTGTGTGTGTGTGTGTGTGTGTGTTTGTGCTTTGAATGTATGTGGTATAGATTTCTTGCCACGAGAGAGGTCCAGGGGAGTGATAAATGGAGCTGACAAACACCGTGGAAGGATCTACCCCATCTGTCCAGCCTAGAAAGCCCATCGTCTCTCTCGCTCGCTGCCGGTTTTAAAACTTGTTGTCCGAATGTGTGTGTGTGTGTGTGTGTGTGTGTGTGTGTGTATGTGTTTGTGCATGTGTGTGTGTTCCTGTGTTTTCAGTCCAGCTGTCTCAGATCCAAAAAAGCTGGAGGGAGTGAGTCAGAGCCGGGCTGCACAAAAAGCACACAAACCCTCCAGACAGGGAGCATTGGAAATGAAGTCGCTGTGATCCGAAATCCCCACGAGTCCCTCTGTCTCTGCCTTTGTTATTTCTCTCTCAAAGAAGACACCGTCCAGCTTCCTCTTCCTCATCGTCTGTGTGTTTGTGTGTGGAGAGACACGGCTAATCTGAACGTCCTCCAGAACACTCTCCCTCCTCGAAAGCCTGTTGTTGATGTTTGGACGTCTGTCGGTTGACATTTTCTCGTAGCGGAGGGCGACGAGTCACGTGCCTTTCTCTGGGTCTTGCCATTTCTGAGTGTGTATGTGTGAGTGTGTGAGTGTGTGTGTGTGTGTGTCTGTGTGTGGGTGGGTGTTTGTATGTGAGCGTGAGTTCGTGTTTATGAGACGAGGAGTAGAAACGTTGGCAGGATGGACACACACACAGTCAGAGAGACGTGGTGGAGGAGTGGAGCTGATTGCCGGCTGCTGCTCTTCGGTCCTGCAGAGTCCTGAGAGTCTATTGACCCCTGAGCCAACAGAGCCTGAGGAGGAGGAAGAGGAGGAGGAGGAAGAGGAAGGGTTTGAGGGACAGAAAGAGGTGAAAGCATTAGTGGAACAGAATTCATAGGAGTGGCAAAGAAAAGTGTGAGTGAAGTAACGCAGCAGCATTTGATATTGACGCGATGCTACGACATTTATGGAGCAGTTTAATATATTTAATAATAATAATACATTTTATTTGTAAGCGCTTTTAACAAATGCTCACCGAAACTTTACAGTTTTTAAGTCAGAATAAAAACAGCAATAAAACAGTATAAAACACACAAACTTATACATTAAAAGCTGATTTAAAAAGGTGAGTTTTGAGCGTGGTCTTGAATGTTGGGAGGTGTGTGCAGATACAGATGGGTTTGGGGAGTGAGTTCCAGAGGGAGGGGGCAGCGATGGAGAAGGCCCTGTCCCTCCAGGTTCGGTGCTTGGTCCGTGCAGGCAGTGAGAGAAGACTTCCTTCGGATGAGCGGAGGTCGCGGGACGGGGTGTGGTGGTGGAGTAGGTGTGTGAGGTAGGAGGGGGCCTGGTTGTTGAGTGCTTTGCGTGTGAGGAGGAGGATTTTGAACTGTATGCGATGTGTGGTGGGAGCCAGTGTAGGTCTTGGAGGACGGGGGTGATGTGGTCTTGGGAGCAGGTGTGGGTGAGCAGGTGGGCAGCAGAGTTCTGGATGTATTGAAGTGTATTGAGGAGTTTGAATGATGAGTCATAGAGGATGCTACTGCAATAGTCCAGTCTGGATGTGATAAATGCGTGGATGAGGGTTTCTGCAGCAGAGAAGGTGAGTGAGGGGCGGAGACGGGCGATGTTCCTGAGGTGGAAGAAGGCAGTCCTGGTGATGTGATTGATGTGGTGGTCAAACCTTAGCTGGCTGTGGAAGATGATTCCTAGGTTGCAGGTGTGTGGTGAGGGAGACAGAGTGCAGTTATCGAAGGTGAGGCAGAGGTTGTGGGTGGCTCTGGTGCAGGATGTGGGATCAATGATGATTATGTCCGATTTGTCACTGTTCAGTTGGAGATAGTTTGTTTGCATCCATGGTTTTATTTCAGTGAGAGGTGTTGGTGATGGCTTTGGCGGAGATGTACAGTTGGATGTCGTCGGCGTAGCAGTGGAACTGGAGGCCGTGACAATGGATGATCTTGCCAAGGGGGAGCATGTAGAGGATGAAGAGGAGGGGACCAAGCACCAACCCCTGGGGGACACCTTGGGAGAGGGGAGCGGTGGAGGAGGTGCAGTTGTTTATACTGATGAACTGGTGTCGGTTGGTGAGGTAGGAGTGAATCCAGGAGAGTGCTGTGTTTTGTTGCACTTTTCACGACATACTATACTATGACTTTTAAGCGTCATTTTTTACGACTTACTTTACCATGACTTTTTACGACATGCTATACTATGACGTTTTTTCACGACTTTTTATGATGTACTATTCCACTACTATTTTGTTGCACTTTTTATGACAAACTATACTACGACTTTTTAGGGGCATTTTTTACAACATGCTATATGATAACTTTTTGTTGCAGTTTATGAAGACATGCTATAATATTTTGATGACTTTTTTTGTGGCATTATTTATGACATTATGATAAACTATACTGTTAGTATTTAATTGCAAATTTTATGACATATTAAACTATGACTTTTTGTAGCAGTTTTTACCATAAATCAGAATAATTTCCTTTTCTGATATACTATACTGACATTTTTTTATTTTACAATGTATTGTACTTCATCTTTTTCCTGGATTTTTTTTTACAACATAATACACTATGATGTTTTTGTGGCATTTTCATGACATACTATGGCTGTTTTAATGAAAGCTTTTTTTTTTTTTTTTTTACTATATTTTTACTAACTCTCCCTCCAGTGACTCGTCCCTCTGTGATCTCTCTGCCTACAGTCTGAACACTGGCTTCAACACACTGCTGGCTCCGTCCTCCCTCTGTACCCTTGAGGACAGGATCCAGGGTCCCAGTGAAGCCACCAGCTGCTGCCCAGTTTTTCTGGTTCAAAGATCATCTAATGACCACATGTCTGGTGGTCACCCGAAGCTGCTCCCTCGCTGCACCGTCTCCTGTGCTGGACTTAAATACTTTGTACTGTAGCAGCTGTTTCAAAGCCTCCATGTGTAGAATTAGATGTTTGATGACCTTGGTGTCCCTCTGAGTACAAATATTTTACATGAGCATCACAAATATGTTTGCCTTCCTACCCGTCCACCCACAGCACATATGGCATGGAGACGATACGTACAGCTGGCTGCAGAGGTGACCGCTGGGAAGTGAACTGAGTCATGGAGCTGAGAGAAAGTTTGCTCAAAGAAACCCACCAACAATACGGTGCTTCATGTTTTAATCACAGCAGAACTTTTCTTTGTTACAGGTGTTTAGTTTGAACAGAAAATAAAACATTTAGCTTCAAGTCAAACTGAATCAGTTTCTTCTACATTGTTATATGTCATGTTACAGATTTGATTTATACTTATGGCGTTGTTCTGTCTTGTGTCCTGATGCTGAGAGGAGAGCTCCAGGTTCTTTACTGCTGTCAATAAAGTTTTTTTGTCTTAACTGTTGAAACTGTATTACCGTCTGTGCCTGTCTTTCTCTCTGTCTGTCTCTCAAGTGGCTGTTTGTATACATTGAAATGTTTCCTGTCAAATTTACAGCCTCTGAACAAGAACAGAAATAAAACCTACATGAAGACAAACATCCTGTTTTAAGCAGCGCCTCATGTCGTCACTCTGACCTAACAGGACCTCAGTGTGCTTCCTCTTCTTTATAAAGAGAAACACTTTATGACTTTAAGCCCCCCAAAAACAACCTGACAGAGATCAGAATGACTCAACGAGAAACTATACTGTGACTGAAGTTTGACTTTTTCTTTGTTTTGTTTTCTTTTTTTAACTATGATATACTATAACGTTTTTCATGACTTCGGACGACATGCTATACTATGACTTTTTTTCATGATTTTGGACGAGATGCTATACTATGACGTTTTTTCATGGTTTCTGACGACATGCTATACTATGACTTTTTTCATGATTTTGGACGACATGCTATACTATGACTTTTTTCATGATTTTGGACGACATGCTATACTATGACTTTTTTCATGATTTTGGACGATATACTATACTATGACTTTTTTTATGATTTCTGACGATATGCTATACTATGACTTTTTTCATGATTTTGGACGACATGCTATACTATGACTTTTTTTCATGATTTCTGACAACATACTATACTATGACTTTTTTTCATGATTTCTGACAACATACTATACTATGACTTTTTTCATGATTTCGGACGACATGATGTACTATGACTTTTTGCATGGTTTCGGACGACATACTATACTATGACGTTTTTTCATGGTTTCAGACAACATGCTATACTATGACTTTTTTCTAATTACTTTGGAGGACGTACCATACTATGACGTTTTTCATGATTTTGGACGACATGCTATACTGTGACATTTTTTCAAGATTTTGGACGACATACTATACTATGACTTTTTTTATTATTTCGGACGACATGCTATACTGTGACGTTTTTATGATTTCGGACGACATGCTATACTATGATTTTTTTCATGGTTTCTGACAACATGCTACACTGTGACGTTTTTTCATGGTTTCGGACGACATGCTATACTATGACTTTTTTGTCATGGTTTATGACGACATGCTATACTATGACTTTTTTCATGATTTCGGACGACATGCTATACTATGATTTTTTCATGGTTTCTGACAACATGCTATACTATGACTTTTTTTTCATGGTTTCTGACGACATGCTATACTATGACTTTTTTTTATGATTTCGGATAACATACTATACTGTGACGGTTTTTCATGGTTTCGGACAACATGCTATCCTATGACTTTTATTTATGATTTCGGACGACATACTATACTGTGACTTTTTTTATGATTCGGACGACATGCTATACTATGACTTTTTTTTCATGGTTTCTGACGACATGCTATACTGTGACTTTTATTTATGATTTCGGACAACATGCTATACTATGGCTTTTTTTCATGGTTTCTGACGACATGCTATACTATGACTTTTTTCATGATTTCGGACGACATGCTATACTGTGACTTTTTTTTGTTATTTCGGACGACATGCTATACTGTGACTTTTTTTTCATGGTTTCTGACGACATACTATGCTGACTTTTTTTTCATGGTTTCTGACGACATGCTATACTGTGACTTTTTTTTATGATTCGGACGACATGCTATACTATGACTTTTTTTTCATGGTTTCTGACGACATACTTTACTATGGCTTTTTTTCATGGTTTCTGACGACATGCTATACTATGATTTTTTTTTAATGGTTTTCGACGACATACTATACTATGACTTTTTTTTCATGATTTCGGACGACATACTATACTATGACTTTTTTTTCATGGTTTCTGACAACATGCTATACTATGACTTTTTTTTCATGGTTTCTGACGACATACTATACTGTGACTTTTTTTTATGATTCGGACGACATGCTATACTATGACTTTTTTTTCATGGTTTCTGACGACATACTATACTGTGACGTTTTTTCATGGTTTCGGACAACATGCTATACTATGACTTTTTTGTCATGGTTTCTGACGATATGCTATACTATGACTTTTTTATGATTGTGGACGACACACTATACTATGACTGTTTTCATGATTTCTGACAACATGCTATTCTATGACTTTTTTCATGATTTTGGATGACATACTATAGTATGACTTTTTTGATGATTTCGGACGACATGCTGTACTATGACTTTTTTTTTCATGATTTCTGACGACATGCTCTACTATGACTTTTTGCATGGTTTCGGACGACATACTATACTATGACGTTTTTTCATGACTTCGGACAACATACTATACTATGACTTTTTTTCATGATTTCGGACAACATGCTATACTATGACATTTTTCTAATTACTTTGGACGAAATGCTATACTA